ATGCTTTTAAGTTTAGTAATTATTCTTTAGATAATAAGGCGAGTTAATTAAGGTAAGTTTCAAGAAAGAATGGGCATATCCATCTCAACAAAATTTGCATTTCAACTAATAATACCTTAAGCATCAATCGATTTTTTCCATTATACTTTCATTGTGTCAGCCGCTTGCGAAAAAAAAAAGTTTCAATTTTTTTTATTTTTGACGTCGCTAGCTATTCCTAGATACCATAATTATGTTTCCTTTTTTGTTGTTATTTTTTGGCAAATCATCTATCTCTTTTAAAACTTTCTTTAGTTCCATAAATATATACATATATAAATGTTTTCAGAATCATTTTTTTAAATTGCAGGGAAAACATTAACAAAACAATGTTTGGAGCTACCTCCACAAGGAATTCATTTATTGAACGTAAACTTTCAAGCTCATATATTAGCTTTTTGTCAGACAAGACAATTTCGTGGGAGTTGCTGGAGGAACTTCTTTATTATTATTTATCAAGTAAAGCTACTGGAGAAGTTTAACATAAGTAACTTCTTTATTATTACTCATCAAGTAAAGCTACTGGAGAAGTTTAATATAAGTAACTTCTTTATTATTACTTATTAAGTAAAGCTACTGGAGAAGTTTAACATAAGTAACTTCTTTATTATTACTCATCAAGTAAAGCTACTGGAGAAGTTTAACATAAGTAACTTCTTTATTATTATTTATCAAGTAAAGCTACTGGAGAAGTTTAATATAAGTAACTTCTTTATTATTATTTATCAAGTAAAGCTACCAGAGAAATTTAATATAAATAACTTCTTTATTATTACTCATCAAGTAAAGCTACTGGAGAAGTTTAACACAAGTAACTTCTTTATTATTATTTATCGAGTAAAGCTACCAGAGAAATTTAATATAAATAACTTCTTTATTATTACTCATCAAGTAAAGCTACTGGAGAAGTTTAACACAAGTAACTTCTTTATTATTATTTATCGAGTAAAGCTACCAGAGAAATTTAATATAAGTAACTTCTTTATTATTATTTATCAAGTAAAGCTACTGTAGGAGTTTAACATAAGTAACTTCAAAAGCACTAAGCTTTTAATGGAAATCTATGAGGTATGCCGAAACAGTTCTTACACTTACGATAAACACTCAGCTTCCATCCATTTTCTAAAGCGCTTTCTGGTATCACGGGATTTGCGGCACGACATGATATATACTTCCCAGCGTCTTCCATCGATGGCTTGAAGGACAAAGTACTAATGGTAATGTTTCCATTCTTTGTCGTTCTAGTTGTTGTACTTTTCATTTGTTTGCCACCAAACCACCAAGTAATCGTAACATTAGGCCTAGCACCAGCTGTCCTACACTTTAAGTTTGTTACTTTATTAGCTGATAAGGGCTGGTCAATTTCGTCTATTTCCAGCTTCAGTGGCTTTACTGCGAATAATAAAATAAATACTCTGTGTAAAATTAAATAAAAATACAAAGTTCCGTTTTATCTTTTTAATAAATGTATATTTTCAATAATAAGAAAAGCTTTTGAAGTTTTTTAAAAGCTGTTCTTGTTATTGAAGAAAACAATTGTTTTTCTTTCTTACAGTAACACTACATACCTTTATAGATGCAACTGTTTCACATTTAACGCATGCAATACATTATTGATATAAAATGTATGTAAAATACATAACTTTTTCGATTTTCACTCAAACCTGCAAATCATAATTATATTCATCTCGACTGTTTCTCGCTTGACCAGCGCATTCTAATTGGATAGTTTTGGCTTAAAAATATATCTTAAACAGTTGAGTAGGTAAACAACAATTCAAGTTACATATTTATTGACAGGGTTAAGGTTATAAATGAGGGTTACTTAGGTAGGCAAGTAGATACGTTTTACAATATGAATTGGGTTATTTGGGTGTGAACACATAAACAGGTAAGCTCTTAGATAAACATATGTATATATATATATATATATATATATTAATAGACAGAAAACAAGATAGAGAGAAAAAGAACTTTCAATTGATCACATAAATGTAAGAAGGGATTTATTTTAAATATGTACCGAATGCCTACTTGAGTGTAATTACAATGTAAAACTATCTGTATTCAATTATTTATCTAATGAAAGCGGCACGTAAACTTAATCGTAATCGTATTAATTAAACAATTAAATTACCTTACTGGAAATGTAATTAATGTATTTCTCTACTTATTACTGAAGTCTATCTATTTGTTTTGTGAAAAGTTTTAAAATCTCAAAGTACTCAGTGTATAATGTCTATAATTAGTAAATAAGCTCAAATATTTAAATTAATTACAAAGATTGGTTGTGTGAAACAAACATGTAGATTTTTATATTTTACATATATTAAATGCAAAAAATATGGTTACTGCTTTGATGCTAATTCTCACTTCCAATAAAGTTTATAGTTGCAAGTAAACACCCTAAGGAATTTCATATTTAAATCTTAGACGTTTTCGGAAGTACATTGAGTCTGGTCGATTTAATGCTACTTTGTAACATTATCAAATAACGAAGTTATCAAAGTAACGCATTGATTTAACTGTGTCACTAACAGTGTACGAAAAATTAGAGATTTAGTGAACTTAAATACAATACAAGCTTTTCAAAATATAATTAATCAATAATGAAGTAATGTCTTACCAGTAATTTGTAAAGAATTAGTTCAACCTCTAAATCAAACAAATAAAGAAGAACCAGAATTAAAAAAAACTAATTGGTAGCACTAATAACGAATAAATAAAGAAGAACCAGAAGAAGCAAAAACTAATTCGTAGCATTAATAACAAATAAATAAAGAAGAACCAGAAGAAGCAAAAATTAATTGGTAGCACAGATAACGAATAAAGAAGAACCAGAAGAAGAAAAAAACTAATTGGTAACACTAACAACGAATAAATAAAGAAGAACCAAAACAAGAAAAGCTAATTGGTAGCACTGATAACGAATAAATAAAGAACAACCAGAAGAAAAAAATGACTAATTCGCAAGACCAGGATATCATGTTGGTGTCTTAATATGGAAATCACTTACTTAATAGGTGTTAAAAAGTTTGTAAACATTGCGTTTATATAATATCATTATAATAGATTTACAATGTAGCATATTACTTTCTATGGCCTAACTTCTATAAGTCAATACAAATTAAATTTTCGGACATATATACATAAATTAATGAACCTCGAATTTCACGAAATTTGATTATTACCATTCTGTCTGCAACATTTTATAATTTGGGTGAATAAGAGATACGTGGTATAAACAATAAAATATATATATGAATATTTGAAATGAAATGGAAATTCATTAAAAGAGTGTAATAAAAGAAAATCTGGCTTACATTGCCACATTTAAATATTTTGAATAGACGTCCGTATTACATGATGAACTTCACATATTCACCAGCGTACAAAAGATCATAACTGGTAGATGCTGAAACGCAAATGCAACGTTTATATCTTCATACGGAAAATCTTATACACAAAACACAGGATGGCTTTACATACAGCTTGAATTGCAAATATAAATATAGAAATAGAAACTAACTTATTTATATCTCAGGCTGCACACCTAGTTACTAGGCTAATATTCTTCAATGTTAATCTATCTATCTATCTTATCAAATATTAACTTCAATAATCCAGTGGTCTTACGTGTCATGTCTATTTTTACTGTAGCAGAAGTTGGCAAAGAAATGTCATTGTTCGAAGCCAGACAAGAGAGTTCTTTATATAAATCCTGACGTTGAAGATTTAAAAGTTCCAGCTTATTGAAACTTATTTTCTGGGGTGTTACTCCATAGGTGTCGTCTAATAGTACTGGACCTTGCCACCAGGTAAGTTTCGGTAAGGGTTGTCCTAGAAATTAATTTTATTGAAAATATATTGAATTGAAATTAAACAAAATCAACAATTTTATATATTCAGTGCAGGAAATAATTATGAAAAGTTTAAGAAAAAGGTTATAAAAGCTTAATATTACATAAATGCCACTCTCGTCTTGTGAAAATTGACTATTTTAGACTAAATACTGATTATTTGTCAGATAACTAATCAGACAGTGTTACACCAACATAGTTCCACTGAAAGAACATACTATGCCCAGTAATATTGTGAATTCAGTCATTGTTCCAGGGCTGACATGAGAAATTTATAGAAATCAAATTTTTGGTAAAGGATACTCCTTGCGAAGAATTGCAGCAAAACTTAATGTTGATAAACCACATGGAAGCACGAAAATAAAGTCTGTGTTAAACAAAGGGCTCTCATACAGAATATTATTGCATTATACAGATGTTTAATTTTCTTTGTATTTTCTATGATAATGCATCATACCATTTTTTTAAATAATTGATAACATTTGTCTTGATAACGTAGACTTCTGTAAAATGGAAAAAAAATTGCAGTGCTAGCAAAACATAATCATTACCTTATAGTAGTGTATTATTTTACAAGTACATAATTTTGAAAAAGAACGTTGCTAATTGTATATACTGAGATATTCTTATGAAGAACTGTACAATTATCATTCAATTATTTGTATTGGCTAACTCCAGAATCTACCTAATTTTTTGCTTATTAGTTTATGCTTCATGAAATTTCTTTTTTTACCTAACATTCAATATTCCAATCTAAAATACCTTATCCTCTATAAAAACAGTCAGTTTTGTTATATGTAATTCCATTCTTCAATATTTTATAACTGCCTATTTTAAGCACCAATTCAAGATTAAAACACCTTTTAATACTGTGTTTTGTTTATACTTTACCTCCTTCGCTTTCACATAACAACATAAGACGGTCTCCTTCTTTGTACGGACCAACCACATTTTTCACAATTTCTCCGTTTTCATTCGTTATAACTGGTTCCTTTGGTGGTACTGTGAAATAGTTCAACACTAATAATCACAAATCAATGCAAGATTCCTTATTGTGTTTGATGAATATCAGATTGTTTTATTATTGTTATAAGTTTTAATTTCAAGAACTAAAAAAAATTACATCCCTTTTTAATTCGTATCAAGACATCTCTCTATATAACATGTTTTTTAAAGGTTAAAGCAATCGTAAAAAATCAAAAAATATTACGTGATTTTACGTATTAATAATATTACATTTACTAAACAATTTATGATATATTTCATATGGCAAACTATCAGGCGTGTCCAAAGTTGACAACTGGAAATGGAAAGCATTAAATATATCTGAAATGGGATAGCAGTAAAAGCTTTCATCCTATTTCAACTTAGTTTTCTGTAGAAATTTGCTACTTCTTTCAGCTGACGTAGAATTGTTATAACTGAGTGTAATTTATTCTTTCTCGTATTTTTGGAAACGCCCCTTTACGTTATAGCAACACTGTAATTATGTTAGTCTGAGCCAAAATTTTGATTTTCTTGTTTCAATATCTTTTGTACCATTAAAACTTTCTATATTACTATAGTTCATTAGGTTACGCTTATATAGACTCCTACTTGACTTTATAAAATCTATTTTTTTTATTGTACTTGTTTGTTTTATCTATATATAAAAAAACTCAAAATCTCTCTGTTTGCTTGTCCGCCGCGTTTTCTGCGCAGGTCACAGTTCCCTTACATGAAGGTGCGCAAAACGTAAATTTTTCATTGATATACGCGTCTATCGTCTGCTAACAGAACCGGTGATTTTATCGTGAACATATACATTACACAAATAACTCCTACTTACGCTTGACATTTTTTGATGAGATGAGTTAACATTTAATTTAGAATATAGCATTTTAGGCATATTTATTTAAAGACCATTAACTATACATCTAGTAATACATCATATATTCAACCTCACACACAAAAGAAATGTATTCAGAATTATAATGTAGTGTGTAAAAAAATAGACCTAGCCTACAAAATAAAATTATGCCGTCTGACATAAAATATGCTACGTGAAAAGAGTAAGGCTTAAATTGTAATACTTATTGTGTAAAATGAGATTAACATCAAGTCAACGTAACTGGTAGAGCGCTTGTATGAGGTGGAAGATGGGTTGAACCTGGAAATTGTAATTTTTTTATTATTACTATTAGAATAGACAGGCCTATTGAGTTACATATTTTTTATTATACATTATCTATTTAACCTCACACACGAAAGAAATAATTGGAGAATTAGAATATTGTGTGTGAAAAAGCAAGCTGTAAATCTCATCTATATAATATATTCTGTCTACCTTAAAATAGACTACGTAGGCTTAAATAATACTTATTGTGTAAAATGATATTAAAACCAAGTCAGCGAATGTATTTTATTCTACTTTTTAGTTCGATACCTGAAAGTGGATTTTTTATTTTGATACGCTGTAAAGTACAATATTGAATTTTTTGTAGTATATTTCATACATCAATATCGTAATGTGAATACGGTATCACATTCATAAAAATATATTAAATTTAGCTCTAACTTAAAACAGATTCGTAGTTTATTTTCGAAAATCAAACCTAAGGTTTCTTTAAATAAATTCACAAAATATTTTTTACCTATCGAAACACGGAACAGGGAAACAGAGAGAGTAGTTGTTTTTTTTTTGTTTTTTTGTCGTTGTTTTTTTTAAACCCGGGCAACGCCGGGTAACACTGCTAGTTAGCTATATCTTTGTGCTCGAGTAATACCAAGCGTGGGGCGCGCTTATACCGATTCGATTTTATTACTCATCAGGATCTCTACTAACCTACCCTCAAATCTAATTATATGCCTAAAGTAGTGCATCTTCCGTTTTATATTTATATATTAATATCCTTTTTGGTACAAGAGAAGAATGTTTGTGACCCCAGATGGAAGAGTTATGTAAAAGAATTAGAACGATAAGGTTCGTCTTTTTTTTTTTTTTTAGTACGCTTGTCTGGAAAAATCATCTACTTACTTACTTAGATGAAAATTCGTTGAAACAGTTAAAATTTTGATTTACTTCAAAAACATGTATATAGCGATTTAGGCCGCTTTGTAAGTACAATAAGCTTTAGTTTTGCTCAGTCCATACTGTAAACTAATCATTGTTAATATTCAGATTTTTAAAGGTGGTTTTAAACGGGCGAATTTTATGGCCACCAATTTTGTTTCATCACGATCCCTACTAAGAATCACCTAATAACGTATTATCTGTACTAGAGTTAAACACACAGATACAATACATTTACTGAACTAGTCGGAAACTTCTACTTGCGTTATAGTTGTGCTAATGTTAGACTCATAAGTACACGCTTGCTGCAATCATTAGGAACATCCTTTTATGCTATAACTGTGCTAGCGTTGGAAACGTACATACGTCATACGTGCTAGCTTAAGGACTTTATCTATCTGAGTAGTTACAAATGCGAATTTAGTGTAAAATGTTGTGCAAGGCGTAGTAAAATATCAGTAATTTGACCAGGCGCTTCAATCTATATGTAAAAAAATGAGGAAAAATATGCTTAGAGTATAAAATTATGTTAGAAATACAAAAAAATTCAGTATACAGGGTCCCAAAAGTCAGTTGTCATAAGTCGTTTATATATAAATATACAAATTTACTAAATGTGTCCAAAATGTCCGGCCTCGAAATACAACGTTGTAAACGATCAATCCAGATCCCCTCTACACTTTCATCAATGTTTAATGTTATTATCAAAAACGCTGGAAAGAAAAGTTGTAATGGACACCATGTGCTCTCGCCTTCCGATGACTCTTAGAATTGCGTATAGCCGGCAATAAGGTAGAGCTACTGACTAGTGGGAAGACAGCTATTCAGCTACACTACACCTGCACCACAAAGGCTAGCCGGCCATAAGGTAGAGCTACTGACTAGAGGGAAGACAGCTATTCAGCTACACTACACCTGCACCACAAAGGCTTTCTATACCTTTAAACCAAATATGAGTCTTATATTGGTTAACAGTATACTATAATAAACTGTAACATTGCATTATATATACAAAAAACAAAACAAACTAGGATTCTTATTCTGGTTCAGTGTATTCTATAATAAACTATAACATTACATTATATATAGAGATATATTGGTCTTGAAGTCCATAAAACTTTAATTATAGAAAAATACCACACTAAGCTCTTTTTTATATATACACTGAGT